ACCAAGATAAGCAGTCTTGTTCTCCCCCCTTACAGGCCCTATCTATTAGTTATTCCTCAAGTAGACCATTGAAAGGTAGCTTGGTAGAAGGAGCCTACTAAGGTATCTTTCTTTTTTTAATTTCTCAAATAACATCCTAGTGAAAACCCCAGGTATCTTAAAACCTGCCTTAGAGTCTTGGCAGATCTGCAGTTTACCAGCAACTTACCTAAGACTCCACTTTCTCTTCTGTAAAGTAAACTTAACTATACCAACTGACAGGGATCCAGTATGAGTTAACCTGGACTGGTTGGATCAATAGGGAATAGAAAGGGAGAAAAAATCCAACAGCTGCCTGCTAAAATACTCCGGATCCAGTACTCCAATGATCAATCACTCTTATGTCAGCGATCAACAAGAACAGATGCAGCCAAACCTCGGCATTCAGTGTTGAAGGAGATGAAAGATAGGTAGAGATGCAGCAAATATTTCTAGATGTTTGTACCAGGCATTGCCTCAAAGGTCTTTAAAAGTGATATTTAGGTCATCACCATGGCTCATACCTGTAATCCTAGTACTGTGGGAGGCCAAGGCAGGTGGATTGCTTGAACTCAGGAGTTTGAGACCAGCCTGAGCAAGAACAGACCCTGTCTCTACTAAAAAAATAGAAAAAACTAGCCTGGTGTTGTGATGGGCACCTGTAGTTTCAGCTGTTTGGGAGGCTGAGACAAGAGGATGGCTTGAGCTCAAGAGTTTGAGGTTGTTAGGAGCTACATCACTGCACTCTATCCAGAGCAAGGAAGTGAGACCTTGTTTCAAAACAGCCCCCCCAAAAGTGATATTTAATCTCCACAACAGTCCAGATATTTCAAACAAGGAAACTGAGGCTTAGTGAATATTTGTGACATAATTCCTGCCTGGGGAAAGGGGGATATTGCCAGGCTTGCAGAAGCTAATGTAAATAACAAAACTAGGTAACAAGTTATATGTAATTAATCATTTTTTAGTTTGGGGGTTGTTTTTCTATTTTTTTTTTTTTAGTAGTTCTGCTTTATTTTATGTTTTTTTTTTGTTGTTGTTGTTTGTTTATTTTATGAAACAGAGTCTCACTCAGTTGCCCTGGGTAGAGTGCCCTGGAATCATAGCTCATGGCAACCTCAAATTCTTGGGCTAGGCTCGGCGCCTGTGGCTCAAGCGGCTAAGGCGCCAGCCACATACACCTAAGGTGGCGGGTTCGAATC